ATGTGAACAGTCTACTCCAAGGTTAAAATCAGGGGAGAAGAAATGCAAACCTCAAAACCATCCCAATGTATAAAAACCCAAGTCAAGGGTCAGATAGGGCACTTGGATCTCTCAAGTTGCCTGCTTGGCTCTCTTCCAAGTGTACTTTACTTCCTTTCATTCCTGCTCTAGAATTTTTTTGTAAAATTCTCACTCTTGCTCTAAAACTTGTCTCAGTCTCTCACTCTGCTTTATGTCCCTTGGCTGAATTCCTTCCTCCAATGAGGCAAAACTTGAGTTTGCTGCAGACCCTATGGATTCACTGCTGCTAACAGTTACAAGTTTTCCATTTCACATCCCCCTTCCCACTATTGCCCTTTGTGGGACCATCTGTGTAGAAACTTCTATTTTCAATTTTTCAGTTAATATGAGCCCACATTCTTGTTTCTGGTCCCTACATAAAGGTTAAAATTCAAGTGCCTCAGTCACCTCCACTGAGCATCTGAGTATCAGTTCATAGTCTCGCTGCCCCAGTTTTCAGATCCCTCTGCATTTTTGACCTCTAGGATTTTTCCTGAGCTTTGGGTAACCCAGCTATGCATTTCAAAGTAGTCTACCAAGTTGCATTATCTCTTCCAGCTGTTCTCAAGATTTTGTAGTAAGTGAGGTTTCAGGTTAACCAGTCTGCCACCTTGTAAAAAAACTCATAAAATGGCTAGATGCGAAACTCTGCCCAGGATTAGCACCTTCTCTGCAGCAGAACCCTCAACATTTATAAAATGATGAATTTAGTTACATCTTGGTGATTTAAAGAATAAAGGAGGTCGGTGGCTCATGCCTGTAATCCCAGCACTTTGGGAGGTGGAGGAGGGTGGATCACGAGGTCAAGAAATCGAGACCATCCTGGCCAACATGGTGAAACCCTGTCTCTACTAAAAATACAAAAAATTAGCCGGGCATAGTGGCACGTGCCTGTGGTCCCAGCTACTTGGGAGGCTGAGGTGAAAGAATTGCTTGAACTCAGGAGGCAGAGGTTTGCAGTGAGCCGAGATTGCACCACTGCACTCCAGCCTGGCAACAGAGCAAGACTCCATCTCTCAAAAAAAAATAAATAACGGAGGTTACAACAAGCTTCATTTTAGTGGTTTAAGAAATTGAAGTGCAGAAAGAGAGTCAAAGATGGGACAGAGTTTTTCCTCTTGGTGCTAGAAATACAGATTGTCCGAGCCTCGGTCCCTTTTAGCTCAACCAGCTAACTTACCACTTTCCCCCTCCATCTGACTGCTTTTCAGCTTGGCTCCTCAGAGATGTCTAAAGCCATAAGAGCTAGTGCCTACTGCAGGGAATGCACTGTAATGAGAAAAACAGGAGCCAGGCAACTGTGGGCTAAACAACTCTTGAGGTTCTGGTCTAGATAAACCTAGGAATTCTTTTCTCTATAGTAAGAGATCATGAGACCTCAGCTTATATTAAATTTATACCCATTCCTAAAATTGGCACACATTCACACAAAAAGCAGACTAGTCTAAGAAAACAACTTCTTCCTCTTGGAAACCCTACAGCCACTCACCATTCATTCTAGTCCTGAACTCCTCCAGTTTGAAAAGGAATCCTAAAATGCATTAACACAGGTCTAGCCATTATAGGAAATTCTTGAAACCCCTTTGGGAATAATTCTAGGACAATATTCCTAGAGAGACCCATAAATAAGGACACACTGGACTCCCCACGGATTCAGTATAATGCAAATGAGATTCAGCGTAAAGAATCCTGAATTCCTCCTACTCCCAGAAATCCTCTGATATAAAACCAGTTACTTGTGAGGTCTGTGTGCTCACTGTCCTTTCTGCACTCTCTGGCTCCATCATTCCTTGCACTACATAGGATGAAGCAATACCTCAGAAAACATGGTGTCTTCTAGGACAACCCCTATTGCACAGTTGTATCCATTTGTTCTAAGAACTGATTTTCCTCCAGGTTTACACTCCTACTTCAGTATGCTCACTAGATCAAATGATGTGTGCCATAAATATTAGTAATACATCTTTTATAAATGGTGATTTATTTTTTATTTTTATTTTTAGAGGCAGGGTCTTGCTGTTTCACCCTAGCTAGAGTGCAGTGGCACAATCATAACCCAGAGTAACCTGGAACTCCCAAGTTTAAGCAATCCTCCTGCCTCAGCTTTCCAAGTGGCTATGACTACACAGTGTGCCATCACCCCCAGCTAAGTTTTTTATTTTTTGTAAGAGATAAAGTCTCATTCTGTTGCCCAGACTGGTCTCAAACTTCTGATCTCAAGTGATCCTCCTGTCTCAGCCTTCCAAAGTACTGGGATTATAGGCATAAGTCATTATGCTCAGCCTTGATTTATTTATTTTTTCTGCAGAACTAACCCATTTGTCCCTTGCTTTGTATTTTTCTAAAATGTGGTACCTTTCATATACGTCTCAGTAAAAGATGTTTTTCCTATGAAGATGAGGCATAATGAAGAAGAGTTCAACAGTTACGTAAAAATCTGTTAAGACTGTATTTAGTCTGAGAATAAAAAAGACCACTTTCAATTTTAGTTAAGATACACATATATTCTAGGCTAACTATTCTCTTATTTCCTAAGCATATCTCCTGCTTGTTTCAATTGTAAAATTCAGCTTGAATAATAAAATACAGAGAAAGGCTAATGGGCATACGGTGAATGAGTAACACGGTCAACCACCAATCAGATCTGTGTTCTCTTTTAAACAATAAAGTGGCAGAATCTCTCTAGTCCTCAGTTTCTTGATCTCCAAAATTGAGATAATACAAGTTCTTATTCCATGGAGTCACTGCGAGATTTAATTGAGATAATTCATGACTGGTGTAAATGCTCAACAACTATTAGCTCTCATTTTATTTCCAGCTATTGAGTACTTTACAGAGTGCAAGGAATTATTTATTGTATTTAATTTATTGCTTTTAAATCTACTCCCTTCCTCAGAATAAGCATTTCTGGTTAGCACAGACTTTATTAGCTCTAGATAAAAAAATAAACAAACAAGCAGAACAAGCAGAATTAGATCAAAAGTCAGCTTCTGAGCAAAACATATATTTTATATATTATATAATGCATTATTTCCAGCAATTGCTTTTAAAATGTAGTTTTCATATAGGTTCTTTCTTCTTCTGCTCCCAATGCTTTGAGTACAAAAAAACTCACAGAGAAACCTTTGGCTGTGTTAGGTAACTCCAATCATTACCCATTCTAGTATTACAGGCACTGCTCCAAGGCTGATGCACATTTTGACTAGCCACAGGTTACAGCCTTCAAAACAGACCCGGTATTAAGACTAAGTCAAAGAAATAATTACAGACAAAGTATTTTAATAACTTTCTAAAGCCTGAACATTTTATCCATAATCACATTCTTGAATTTATCACTTGTTAGTATGGACTAAAATATAAAACATGTGAAATGTATTTTTCCCTTTGCTATTCATCTCCTTTAACGGTGAGGGAAAAAAACAGTTAAATTCTAAACGAGCTTCCCTCTCAGTACTGAACAATGCTGGCCAAAATCTGTATGTAACATCAAAACAATGCAATTGTTTTCCATGGAACCGGATGACAATCCTGCCTAGCCTACATTTAGAAGAAAAGGGTATTACCTAGCTTTCTGATCTACTGGGGAAAACAGATCAAAATCTTTCTCAGTTACTATTTCAACACACAACAAATATCTAAAATGGTTTATTATTGTCACTAATCTAATTTTAATACTAAGCCAATCTCCTTATATTCTGGCCTTAAAACTTACTGAGAGCAGGCCGAGCATGGTGGTTCACGCCTGTAATCCAGCACTTTGGAAGGCCGAGGTAGGCGGATCACCTGAGGTCAGGAGTTCAAGACCAGCCTGGCCAACATAGTAAAATCCCGTATCTACTATAAAATACAAAAATTAGCCAGGCATGGTAGCAAGCGCCTGTAATCTCAGCTACTCTGGAGGCTGAGGCAGGAGAATCACTGGAATCTGGGAGGCAGATGCTGCAGTGAGCCGAGATCGTGCCACTGCACTCCAGCCCGGCTGACAACAGGGAGACTCCATCTCNTCAGCACTCTCAAAGGCCGAGGTGAGCACTTCATGAGGTCAGGAGATCGGGACCATCCTGATCTCCTGAAAGACAGGGTGAAAGCGTGTCTCTACTATAAGTACAAAGAAATTAGCTGGGCATGGTGGCACATGCCTGCAGTCTCAGCTACTTGGGAGGCTGAGGCTGCAGAATCACCTGAACCCAGGAAGAGGAGGTTGCAGTGAGCTGAGATCGTGCAACTGAACTCCAGCCTGAATAAAAGAGGGAGACTCCACTTTAAAAAAAAAAAAAAAACCCAAAAACTTACTGAGAGCAAACGAAGAGGAAACTATATTGAAAGACCAATCCTCATGTCTCATTATATAATGAAAGACATGGAGAAAGGAAAAAATATACAACCTACTTGTTAGAACAACTTCATGCCTTAGTGATTTGATAAGTATATATAACAAGCTAGGAGTTAATACACTTTTAAAACAACCTATTTATAACAAAGGTCTCTCTGTTGGGACTGTCAAGAGATTTAAAGAAAATGCCTCCAGTACCAAACACTTTTATTTAGCCAGGCATTGCAGAGCAATGAAATTGTAAACCTGGAAGCCTTCATCTTAGCCTCACTCTATGAATCATTTGAATATATGCAAATCAATAAGATTTCCTTATTCTTATACCCTCTTGCCAGTATAATGAAATTAGTACCTGTCCTCCCAGCACTATGTAAAAGTCCTAAAAAAAAAAAAAAAAGGAACAGAATCTAAGTATCGTAATGCGCTATATGTTTCCTGGAAAAAAAAATTTAATGTCTTAGGCAAGAAAAAATACACAAAACACTACTTCTTCTTAGAATCGAATATTTGTAAAGCAGACTTCGACTACTACAAGCTAAAAATTATGAAATTCCTATGAGTCTCAAACATAACACTCACCACAGTAGAAAGGGGAAATATAACCTACCCCATGTTCCCATCCATTAGAAGAATCGTGTTGTATATGTGAGAAAATATGAAGAGAAAGAGAATTGTGCTGAAGAACATTGTCATCCATGATCCATGATCCTCTCGAAACATTTTTAATCGGAGCAACTGACCTGAAATACCAATATTATTAAAAATTAATGTACATTGCAACTCAAAATTCATAGCTCCTTGCTTTATTTTAGTGAATCTCTATTGTCTCACTATATTCTGAAGTCTTTGTCATAGGACTGCCTTATCAATGAAGCCACCATATAATGTTCTTTCTGCTCTTTTGTAAATAAATTCCCCCACTTACCTGCTATTTTTTATTTTACAAATATGTTTTTTGTTCATACTAAAACGACTTAAGGCAAATGGTAAAGAAGTTGCATGAATCCCATATCATTTCCTTTTGCTTCTATAGATACATTCCCAGTACTGGCCAGATGACAAAACCAAGGCCAACCTTACTTACAAGATCTAATTGTTTAAGGTACATGAAAACTTGAAAGAAAAAATTAAGTCTCTGTTATAAAACACACAGCTTAGCCTCACTCTTAACTGAAATAATCCACACCCCCCATACAAGTACAAACACAAGTGCAAACAAGAGGTGACAGTGTATGTGTTAATGAAGCTTGGTGTGACTGCTGGACAAACATAATTTTCACCCTGATGACTAAAATTCCATTTATGAAGACAAATGCTAAAATTAGAGATAAAGTTAAGATGCATACATTTTAAGAAAGAAAACTGTATGAAGATGAACACTAAAGTAAAAATTACTAATATCAGAATTTAGCCAGAGAAAGTTTTGATTTATGGTAAAGAGAAATGATGGCACCAGCACCCTGAAAGGTGAGAAAGGCGAAAATTCTTGGGAGTAAGAAAGAAGTGGCAATAGGTCACCCTGCTTCTCCCAAGATAAATTTTGTCTATTATACTTACCTTCCTTCCTAAGAATAATAAGGGAGATGATGTGCATATAGGAACTACAATTAAAATAGAGTAGACCTGAATCTTACAATAAAATTTCTTACTACAGAAAATATTCCCTTTTTTAATGACACGTCAGTTATGAAATATATGTATGTATTTCTATCTGGAAATTATCTCTCTGAGGACAAACAGTATCTCACAATATCTCACTGAGCATAAGAAAAAATAATCTTTTAAGATTTAACTACTGAACTTTTCCTTATATCTCACCTTTATTAAAATAGCCCTTTAGATTTCATTTGCCAACCAGGCCAACAGAAATATTATCCTAGCCAAAACTTCAGATGGAGGGTTAAAAAAAATGGGAAGGAGATTTGGTTACATCACACCATGGATTCTTGGCCTATACAAGAGAAGCAAAGGTTAAAACTCAAAGTCAGGGAGAATGTGACTGTGTAACTAAAAGAAGAATGTGGAAAACCTTCTACTATAACAAATGATACTAGCCCCACAAATCATAAGATCACAGAACTTGCCTATTAATTGAATTAATAATTATGAAAAGCCAGAGATTTTCAAGTCTCCACACAACATATCGACAAGAATATTATAAAAGGATATTATTGAGAGTAAAACCACATGCTATAAATATCCTACACTATAAAGAATATTTATTCATTCATTGAACAAATATTTAACATGTGCCTCTTACATGCCAGAAACAGTTCTAGGTGCTAGAGATTCAACTGTAAGCAATGCAGGGGAGTACTTGAAGTCAATTTTCATTTGAGTATTTAATGGAATTGTGACCTTACTTTGGACTCATGGACTCTCTTTGTTCAGGGCTCCCTTTGCTGTAAGTCCTTTCAGCTTTAGAACAAGACAAATTTATTTAATTCAGCAGTTGATAATAAAGAACTTCAAAGACCGGCAATTAGAGTTTTTTCAAGATATAAATGTGAATTTCTTTCTTAACATAAGCATATGTCAAAATTTTCACTAACAGATGTACTTTAAAAGTCAAATAATAATGCTGGTGATTTAACAGGGCTTTGCAAATAAAATATTGTAGACTAATTATACACAGGTGGAAACAGCACAAAGTTAGCAAAAAGAGAGATGTGGCAGTACTATTTATTCTGTCATTGCCAAGCTCCTCATCTGCCACGAATTTCAGCCATTAGTGTCATTAGAACAAAATGGCAGGTTAACATGACTTGAAATTCATTTGAATAAAAGTGCTGCAAAATATTAAGCTCAGAACTAGTATGACCCAAGCGTTGAGTTAAAATGTATTATAAAAATTTCCCATAAGTACTTAAAGATTAACTTAATGAGTAACCCTCAAATGTTAGAAACATATACACATGGACTGCCCTCAGCTAACTGTTCTCACAAAGTACTTCAGTGTTGAGTCGAATCATATCTCAAAAATTTCCCATAAGCTACTTATAGGTTAACTCAATGAATAACCCTCAAATGTTAGAAACATATACACATAGACTGCCCTCAGCTTACTGTTCTCATGAAGGACTTCTCCCATGCAATGTAATCACACCAGGAACCTTGGAACTACCTGAGGATGTCAGATAGAAATACATTGTCTCTGCCCTTTAGGGTGACTATATATATGGTGTGTCTGGGACAATGGTGGTCTATAATTTTTGTCCTGGCATAAGTATTAATAGTAATCCCTTCCTTTCTTAAGGGTGCTGGTTTGGAAAATAAATTATGTGCCATTTTCCTATAGGTTCCAGAATTCAGAAATGTATGACTTTCTTTTAGAGGAGTTTCAGAAGATAACTGAGTGACAACAATCTTTACAGGCCAATAGAAGTGAAAAACATCACTAAGAGGGATATACTTCTGACATGGTCAAAAATAATTTTTATTTTAATCATAGATACAGTATTATTTGTAAATATGAGTGCACATTTATGTTATTAATAATATCCATCTTGGAGTGTATAGGCTGTCACCTTCAACACAAAGAAATTAGAAAATACACCTTAAAGCAATCAAAAGCATTGATGTGGAACACAAGCCCATATGTGTGATGAAGGAGAGAATGGGAGGGCACAGGGGTTGATGATTATGAATGCTGGCTAAAGTCAGATGAAACGGTGGCCTAGAACTTCAGAGTTTGTTCTGGAAGTACAGGCTTAGGACCACTAAGATGTCATAAAATTCTAACAAAATTAATGAGATAAAAGCATATTTAAAAGTGTATATAAAATGAGCCCACATATGTTATAGAAAATAGAGGTAGACAATTGTGACAGGGAGAATTATGGAGAAACTACTTGGTATCCTGGCTTTTTTGCTGCTGTGTTCTCTTCACCAAAAGAACAGAAGGAAGAATTTCCTTTCTACCTCACTGCCAGACTTTTTTATTGACAGTTCTAGGTCCCTTTTCTTTGGAGTGATTTTCACATGGAGGCCTGTGCAAAGAAATACACTAAAGAGTCTCAGAGGAAAGAGTAGAAGTGTTTGTGTTTCCAGGAAGGAGATGTGGGTAGCCCTACCTCTGGAAGGTTGTTAAAGCAGGGGATCAGATAGACCAAGGGCTTCTGTATTCATAAAGAATAAAAGGATTTAGGCCTCCAAGGTGGCAGAACCTCATTTGGGGATGACTACATGGATGTTGGTGAAGGCCAAGGTATCAAGGGTTATAATACGGTTTGACTGTGTGTCCCCACCCAAATATCAACTTGAATTGTAATAATTCTCACAAGTTGTGGGAGGGTCCAAGAGAGAGGTAATTGAATCATGGAGGTGAATCTTTCCTGTGCTGTTCTTGTGGTAATGAATAAGTCTCATGAGAGCTGATGGTTTAACTAATGGGAGTTCCTCTACACAAGCTCTCTCTTGACTGCCACCATGCAAGATGTAACTTTGCTCCTCCTTTGCCTTCTGCCATGAGTGTGAGGCCTCCCAGCCATGTGGAACTGTGAGACCATTAAATCTCTTTCCTTTATAAATTACCCAGTCTCTGGTATGTCTCTATTAGCAGCATGAGAACAGACTAATACACATGGCTTTGGAAGTCTGAATTATCAAACTAAGCTAGCCCCAGGGGAATGGCGTCAGTAGGGCACCCACCCACCTCTATTAGGTGCATGATGACCTGAGTAGATTCCGGGCATCTTAGACAGAGTCATTGTGCCAAAGTGGTAGAAGACCATTACTGAAGTAGCAGTAGGAGAAGGGGTAGAGAAGTAAAAACAAGCTGAAGGAGTCTTTTCAGGATCTGCAGCCCTGAACTCCTGCAAAACCTTAGTGATAGAAAAGGTTATTTGAATTATTACCGTTGTACTCTCTGCTTACCTTGGTAAGCAAAAACTCGAGTAAGACTTAATTTAGAGGCAACAGTGTGACATTACACATAAGACCCTGGCTAGGAAATATAAAAGGACAAATGAAGGGGTTCATTCCTCGAGAAGACTGCAAATGGAAATTAACACTACTGTCCATTAAGTCTTCTGCTCTAAAACCTCCTATATATAATTTGATCCACCCATATATACAAGAAACAAATAGAATCTGCAGTTACTGAAAGGAGTATATTTAGTTTGTTGGAGTAAAAAGATACAATAGTCAAAAAATCAGCATAGCAGGCATTCCACATACCAGTAAGAATATTACTGTTGCAAATAACAAAAGGGGAAACAAAAAATAACTAAACTAAAACTAGGTTAAATTATAAAGAGTCTTTTTTGACTTCCTTCTCACATCTTCTATCTTTTTTTCTCATGTCTGTTCTCTAAACAAAACATAATTAATTTTTACATACAATAGATATTCAAGAAATAATACAGATCTAGTTTAGCTAAAGGAATAGAATGACTACAAACAAGACCTGACCCAGCGCTCAGACAATATTATCAAGGCCTGATTAATCTCTATTTCCCAGCTCCATTTCCTCAGAGTGGGGTCTCATCCTAACTGGCTCCCACTACTTTCTCCCCAGGACACACACATGCATGCTTTCTTGTCCCAGGATGACCATAACAACCTGAGGACTGCTTCTTCATTGTTGTCCGTAGATGAAAAGATAATACTTTTGCTGTGGCATTTCTAGAGAAAGTTATGAGATTCAATCTGTTCGGGCTCATTTGGGTCCTGAACCGATTACCCTAGCCAGAGTTATGAAAAGCAATTTAATTAATCCTTAGGATTAGCTAAGCCTATG